ACAATTTTGGAAAACAGAGAAAGTACCAGAAATTGAAGACTGGATACAAAAAGTTCTGTTCATGGCAGAGATGGACAAAATTACGAAGAAGTTGAACAATAAAGAAGACGACGTGTTTTTTCAAGAATGGAGTGACTTTAAAATATATCTGGAAAAGAACTGGGATGTGAAACAAAACTTAATATGTTTAGATCAATATTAAGTCAAATGATGTTATCTTTAGATTGTAATGATAAGAAATTGATATAGTTGATGATATGAAGTAATTTGGAGCAGGGGTGGAAGCACTGCGGGAAGCCACTGGAGGGAGGGGAGGAACTGGGAATGGGGTAGACAATTGATAGAACGAAATGATTTAATTTTATATGTTGTATTCCTGAGAAAATAAAATTTGTTTACCAAAAAAAAAAAAAAAAAAAAAAAAAAAAAAAGAAGGATTTTCGCTCACAAGACCCCACAGCTTAGAGGGAGCATTGCCTGTGAGGTAGGTGGGGCTGAGGGAGCTCTGAAAGAAACTGCTCTTTTTCAAGAACAGCTCTGACAGAACTACGGCTTGCCCAAGGTCATCCAGCAGCTGCGAGTGGAGGAGTGGGGAATCAAACCCGGTTGTCCCAGATTAGAGTCCGCACACTTAACCACTACACCAAACTGGATCTCAAGGATCAAGAGGTGATGTGAAAGACCTCTGCCTGAGACCCCGGAGAGAGCTGCTGACGGAATAAGGAGGAGGAGGAGGAGGAGGAGATTGGATTTATACCCCGCCCTTCACTACCCGAAGGTGTCTCAGAGCAGCTTACAAACTCCTTTCCCTTCCCCTCCCCATAGCAGACACCCTGTGAGGCAGGTGGGGCTGAGAGAGCTCTCGACAGAAACTGCTCTTTTTCAAGAACAGCTGTGCCAGAACTACAGCTTGCCCAAGGTCTTCCAGCAGCTGCAAGTGGAGGAGTGGGGAATCAAACCCGGTTCTCCCGCCAGTTTGGTGTAGTGGTTAAGTGCACGGACTCTAATCTGGGAGAACAGGGTTTGATTCCCCACTCCTCCACTTGCACCTGCTGATGTGACCTTGGGTCAGTCACAAGCTGTGGCACAGCTGTTCCTGAAAGAGCAGTTTGTGTCAGAGTTCTCTCAGCCCCACTCACCTCACAGGGTGTCTGTTGTGGGGAGGGGAAGGGAAAGGAGTTTGTCAGCCGCTCTGAGACTCCAAGTGAAGGGCGGGATATAAATCCAATCTCCTCTCCTCCTCCTCCTCCTCCTCCCAGATTAGAGTCCGTGCACTGTAACCACTACAGCAAACTGGCACCAAATAAGAAGACAACACTGACCTTGATGGATAAAGTAGCTTCATGTGTGTTTCTAAGGGGAGGGGCCAGTGACTCAGGGGTGGAGCCTCTGCTTGGCATGCAGAAGGTCCCAGGTTCAATCCCCCCATCTCCAGCTAAAAGGACCATTTAGCAGGTGATGGGATAGGCCTCTGCCTGAGACCCTGGAGAGCCGCTGCCAGTCTGAGTACACAAGACTGACCCTGATGGACTGATGGTCTGATTCCGTAGAAGGCAGCTTCATGCGGGTTCAGTAGCTCAGCAGGAGGGTGCCCGCTTCCAATGCGGAAGGCCCCCGACAGTCCCTGGAACCCCCAGGTCAAGGGTCCCATAGAGCAGGTGTTAGAAAATACCCTTCTCTGCCTAAGACTCGTGGAGAGACAACAGCAGACATCTAGATGGACTCGTGGCCAATGCTCCCTCTAAGCTGTGCAGTCTTGTGAGCAAAAATTCTACTTTGGGAGCGACTGGCCTTAAAGTTGTCAGCGAGCGATTGGGCTACTGCATGAATTCGTTTGCGCTGGAGCCCCATCCTTCCTGAGCTGAGACAGAAATGTGTGAGCTGGAGGCTAAAAGACTGTGAGCTAGCTCACACTAACTCAGCTTAGAGGGAACACTGGTGCACAGTTATGACTGTTTTTACTAAGGCACCACCCCAGCAGGCCCGGGATGGGAGAGAAGAAGGAAGAGGAGGAGGAGATATACCCTGCCCTTCGCTACCTGAAGGAGTTTCAGAGCATCTTACAATCTCTTTTCCCTTCCCCTCCCCACAACAGACACCCTGTGAGCAAAGCTCCCTCTAAAGCTGTGGAGTCTTGTGAGCAAAAATTCTACTTTGTGAGCTACTGGCATGTTGTGAGCGAGTGATTTGGCTACTGCATCAATTAGTTTGCTCTGGAGCCCTCCTTCCTGAGCGGAGACAAAAGTGTGTGAGCAGTAGGCTAGAAAACTGTGAGACTGCTCACACTAACTCAGCTTAGAGGGAACCCTGCTCGTGGCCTGTCCCGGTGCAAGGCAGCCTCAGATGTCCACATTATAGGTTCAGGGACAGAATGCCTGCTTTGCCTGCAGAAGTTACATGGTTCGATCCCTGGCCTCTGCAATTATGAGGAAGATCATGGATCTCCGTCCACCTGTAAGAGCCAAGCTGCGCCACGAGCACAGCCCCGGTTTGGATCGGGGCCGGGTGAAACAGATCTGAGACAGAATCCAGCGGGGGAAGAGTCAGACGGAGGTCCCGTGAAGCAAGGGGGCTTTACGGGGCTACATCCCGACTGACCAGGTCCCCCCCCCCACGCGCTCACCTGCTATCTGCTTCATGAAGGTCATGCAGAGGCCATCACTCCCAAGCAAGCCGCTCCTCACCATCTCCCGCACCAGCCAGACAATCTGAAGACAGGGAGAGAACATACGAGGGGGAGATGGGGAGGATTCGGAGCCGGTTCGGATGGCTAATGCCAGCCTCTGCACCAACGGCTCCCACCGCACTTTGCTCGAGCCACCACTTCCGCAGCCTCGCCAGTCCTGTTCTCCTCCCCACTGACCTTAAGCCTCGATAGCAACTTTCCCACACAAGTTTCCCACTCGGTCGGAAAAGTACTCGGGACCTCGCTGAGCATGCTACGGAAGCTCTCTTTTGCAAATCGGGTGTGCCCGGCAGCGGAGCTTGGCCGCAACAGGACCTCAGGGTGAGAAACGCGGGCGGCAGGAAGGATCCGGAGTTGTGACAATGAGGCTTTTCCGCACCGGGTTTTTGCTCCAGCTTGACTTCTTAACCAGTGTCATTTTGCTCCCTCTCTTATGGCACAGTTAGATCTGTCTCCTGTTTGTTTGTTTGGTTCCAGGGGGCTTTTGTAACAGTGTAAGAGGGAGGAGATGACAAGCATGAGCAAAAACCCGATGTGGAAAAGCTCAAAAGTCGCAAACTGCTGCAGAGGAACAAGGAAACTCCTGAATCCGTGTTGGGATGTTTCGGTTAAAAAGTATGAAGAGCTGGGTGGGATCCGTTCTATTAACGCTACCATTTTCCCTCGACTCGATGAGCCTTCCTGCATCACCTCTTGCATCGGGGAAGCCTCTTTGCCCCCAAAATGAAGGATCTTCCACTAGTGAAGCGGATCCACAAGAGCCAACCCATTACATCTGTGCAATCCCCATTAGGCATGCGCGCTTGGTATATACCGAGCCGAATAAATACCCGAAAAATACCAGAGATCTGTATTTGGCTACCGAAGTAGCCGCCCCTGAATAAAACCCGATATTATTCGGCTTTTATTCGGGCTCAGCTACTCGTGGAGTCGTGCAGCCCTTGCAGTGTGACTCCCCAGTGAGGGGAAAGTATTTAAACATTAAATACCTTCCCTTCCCACTCAGCCTTGGGGCTGCCTCTGCAGCACGACTCCCTAGAGCATGCTGCACTGCCAGGGAAGTGATCTTGCAAATGTGTGGAGGTTGCTTCCATCACAGAATCTAGGTCACGGGTCCCCAACAGGGTGCCTATGGGCGCCAGGGCACCTGCCAACACTTTTCTTGGCATCCACCAAGTGTTTTTAGAAAGCGAGTGGGGGGTCAGGCAGGATTCTGGCTAAGGAATGCTGCTGGCTGACCACTGGGGAATCTGATTAACATAACATGGATTTCAGGAGAGCAGCTGCCACCAGTGTTGGTTTTATTCTCCCTCAATCCTGTTTCCCAATGTATTTTTTAAAATTACTCCTTCACTGCAACTGGGCTTCCTCTGTGTGTGTGGCTCCACCTCTGCAGCAGCCATTCTGTGGTCATGCCCACCACCCAGTCTCAGAATTCCAAAGGTAACCAAAGGCTCAGAAATGCTGGGAACCACTGATTTAGTTTGTGTGGCTGAAGAAGCCCAGGGTTCATGGAGATGCCATACATCCTGCCCAGTACCCATTTTGAGCTGCTACCATTGCCAATTTCGTCTGTCTCATAGAATCAAAGAATCAGAGTGGGAAGGGGTCATACAGGCCATCTAGTCCAGCCCCCTGCTCAATACAGGATCAGCCTAGAGCATCCATGACCAATGTTCGTCCAGCCGCTGCTTCAAGACTGCCAGTGAGGGGGAGCTCACCACCTCCCTAGGCAGCTGATTCCACTGCGGCACAATTCTTACTGTAAAAAAGTTTTCCCTAAGATCCTTCCCGCCCTCAGTTTAAGCCCATTCTTACAAGTCCTCTCTCCTCTGCTGCCAAGAGGGACAGCTCCCTGCCCTCCTCTAAGGGACAGCCCTTCAAACACTTCAAGAGAGCAATCATGTCCCCCCTCAACCTCCTCTTCTCCAGACTGAACATTCCCAAGTCATTTTTTCTGGAGCTCTTCTCACCTGAGCCCGAGGCGTGTCCTGCAGCTTCTGGTACTTATCCATCACTACCTGGTTCATCTTGGTCAACAAGCCGCCCATTCCGTCTCGGCTCACTAGCGTCAGATCCCGGTAACACTGGGGAAGAGAAGAGCACATGGGGGAAAGCATGATGGAACCGGCCACATGGAAGGTGACAGCATAGTACATAAACAGAGACCTGCTATTTTGGCCAAGTATTCTATGTGCAGTGTTCCCTCTAAGCTGAGTTAGTGAGAGCTAGCTCACAGTTTTTTAGCCTCCAGCTCACAGATTTTTGTCTCAGCTCAGGAAGGTTGGTGCCAGAGCAATGCTCCCTCTAAGCTGTGGAGTCTTCTGAGCAAAAAGTCTACTTTGTGAGCTACTGGTATTAAAGTTGTGAGTGAGTGATTTGACTACTGCATAAATTAGCTTGCTCTGGAGCCATCCTCCCTGAGCGAAGACAAAAAATGTGTGAGCTGGAGGCTAAAAAACTGTGAGCTGGCTCACACTAACTCAGCTTACAGGGAACACTGCTCCAGAGCAAACTGATTTATGCGGCAGCCACATCACTCGCTCGCAACTTTAATGCCAGTAGCTCCCAAAGTCGGATTTTTGCTCACAAGACTCCACAGCTTAGAGGGAGCATTGCACAGCGACTGCGTTCACCGATCTGAGCCCAATACAGGCTGCACAAACCAACAGGAACTAGAGTGAGAGTCTGAAGATAAGAACATAAGAAGAGTCTTGCTGGATCACGTCTCCTCTTAGTCATCTCTTTTCTAAACTGAAAAACTCCCAGACTCTTCAGCCTTTCCTCATAGGGAAGTAGGGTTGCCAAGTAGCACTCACCTCTGGAGCGGGGGACTCCCGGGTGGATCCCGAAACGCGCGCTGCATGCACGTCACTAGGAAGTGACGTTATGACGCCGGGCACGCTGGGGGTGGGGCCACGACCATCCAAGGGGAAACCCAGCGTGCCCGGCGTCATAACGTCACTTCCTAGTGACGTGCACGCCGGGGGTGGGGTTCCCCCCGGGGCCCGATTCCACGGCGGCAGAAATCGGGCCGCCAAAGCGGGGGTTTACCCGCCACCCGCCCCCACTTGGCAGCCCTATAGGGAAGGTGCAACAACCCCCTGATTGAGAGCACCAGAAGTCTGACCCTCAGTATGGGGTGGTTTCATTCACTTTTTTATGCAGCCGGGGTGGGGGGTGGGGATCGAGAAAAAGAGAAAGTAATCAGCCACAGCAGACCTTGCTTCTTTGGCTTTGGCTCACACACACTAGTCCAGCTAGCGGGGCTGAAAAACCTCCTGCCCCCCATGCAACACATGGTTCCCCCCCCCATCCTGTACTTTGTGGTCAGGTTTCCTTGAGCGGGACCAGGCCCCTGGCCCTGAAGCTAGCCAGACACGGAAAGCTGGAGCTGACAACATAAGGCAGGGGTGTCAAACATGTGGCCCGGGGGCAGGATCAGGCCCCCGGAGGGCTTCTATCAGGCCCGCAGTGGAACTGGCTGTCTTCTGCTGCTGCTTCCAGTTCTGCTGCTGCTGCGTCATCGTAGGTTTGCAGCTTACAGACACACCCCTGAACAGCCATACCCAAGATTGCAACAGCACAGACATTTCGATGCAACAATTCAGAGCAAGAGGTGTCAGTTATCAGACACGGTTAAATAGACAAAATATTGCAAGAGTGCTCATGTTTTAAGCATGTTTTTATTTTAAGTAAAAAAAAACCTTTGTGTTTGTGTCCTTTATAAAGTTTATATCTCTGCTACCTGGCGTTACATTTCATGACGCACATGGCCCGGCCCAACAAGGTCTCATTTATGCCAGATCCGGCCCTCGTAACAAATGAGTTCGACACCCTTGGGCTTTGGGCCTGATGATCCAGCAAGGCTGTCTCTTCCCAGGGCTCGGCTGAAATCGGCTGGGTGGTAACTGGGTCCAGCTGTGCCGCCAGCAAGTCCCGGAGTTCTTGAGGCTATGCTGTATGTTGGTCAGGATCCTACAAGGAAACACTACTCTCAACCCATAGCTCTACATCCCTTGTGGGGTTCTTTGCAGCCGGCTTGGCACTTTGCCTCCTCCGTGCTAACCAGGCTTGGGGCCTTCCGACCAGTGTGAGACAGCTCAGTTTTTTAGCCTCCGACTCGCACATTTCTGTCTTCGCTCAGGAAAGATGTCTCCGGAGCAAACTAGTTTATGCAGCGACCAAATCGCTCGCTCACGACTTTAATGCCCCTTTACAGTGGGCCGAATGGCCCCATATCTATCTGGTATACAAACACCGCCACAGCGCAGTGCCTTTTCTCTAGCAAAGTATAATGTAATACCATCAGCAATCTTGCATGGGAGATGTAACAACAAAGCTTACGCGGAAAGGCTTTGCCATTGCAACCCTGGATGTACTGGAACTGTTTCGCATATTTGTTTCCATTGTCAGTTTTATGTGGCCTTACGTGTTAGATATTTAAACCCTCTCTTAGCCAACATGACGAACCTTCCCGATGCTTTAAAAGTGCACCGTCTTCCAAATGACTCTGTTCCGGAAATATCAATGAACGTAGCCATGTTTTTACAATCAGCTTTAAAGCTACGACAGGAACACTTCCATTGAGTAATTGGTTTTATGCTACATCCTGTTTTATATGTCTGGTTACACTTGGTTTTAAATGTATATTTCTCCTTAGGTAATTCTTTTTAAGGTATTTTATGCCAATAAAGGTCAACTGAGCTGGACTGTAATGCCAGTCGCTCGCAAAGGAGAATCTTTATCCACTGCTACTGACGCTGCTGTTCCTGCGGAGTGGGAATGGATCCTGGACGGCTACGGGCCGGGACTCGCATCCTGCCTGGCGGAGACCCGGTGGCTATCTCAGGTGCCACAGTGGCAAGGTGCCCCTTGCTGGCTCTGGCAGAGTGGCCTCCGGCACTGCTGGCACATCGTCAGCAAGGGCCTCTTTTGCTTTAAGGATACGGCTCTTACAGCCAATTCGGCTCTGAACAGTGTCACGCTAAGGCTTAAAGAGAGAGAGAGAGAGAAGGAGATTTATTGAATACGCATGTCTACGTAATATAAAAATTTAATGATTTTTAAATCTTGGTCGACCAAGGAAAGGAACTCGGGAATTGCCAGTGTAATATTAAAATCCACCCCCGGTGAAAGAAACCTCAGATTATCCAGTTCACACCTAGACTCCTGGATAGAAGGTTTTACCTGACTATCTCTTGGTGTAGTGGATAAGTGCGCGGACTCTGATCTGGGAGGACCGGGTTTGATTCCCCCACTCCTCCACTTGCAGCTGCTGGATGTCCTTGGGCAAGCCACAGTTCTAACAAGAGATGTCCTTGAAAGAGCACTAGACAACATTGACCTTGAGGGACCAACCATCAGGACAAGGAAGCTTCATGTGTGTTTATAAGGGGAGGGGCCAGTGACTCAGTGGAAGAGCTCTCTCAGCCCCGCCTACCTCACAGGGTGTCTGTTGTGGGGAAGGGAAGGGAAGGAAATTGTAAGCACCCCTCCTCCCCCCCCACAGCTGAACACTGTTGAAGGGTGTCTATTTGGACAGAACTGAATCGGTACAGTCATCCAGAGTAAGGCACCTTATTTAAGCATCCTGATAGCTCCCCTGACGGAACAGCATTCGATCTAGCCGGCGTAAATAATCTGTCTGTAGCATGGAACTATCGGGAAATCAAAATAGGCTGGAAGAGATTGCGGTTAATGTTAAAACTAAATATAAAGGTGAGCACACTCTGCGTGCTCTTATCGCGGTACTTCTAATATCCAATTTTTCCAGGCAGCAGCAGCAGAAGAAGAAAAAGGAGGAGGAGGAGGAAATTGGGATTTATACCCCGCCCTTCACTACCCAAAGGTGTCTCAGAGCGGCTTACAAACTCCTTTCCCTCCCCCTCCCCACAACAGACACCCTGTGAGGCAGGTGGGGCTGATGGAGCTCCGACAGAAACTGCTCTTTTTCAAGGACAGCTCTGTATAGAAATATTGATTTCTAAAAGCCTCATGGCTTCTCCTGTTCTGTCTTTTGATAACAGGCTGGACTTTATTTCCTGTTACAAGCCAAATGGTGGGCCCCATAGCCTCAATTGCCATGCCATAAACCCACATTCTTCACACTTCCATGCTACCGTGTTTCCCGAAAATAAGACACACTAGGGCTTATACCACAAATGCATAGAAATCCTGCTAGGGCTTATTTTTGGGGTAGGTCTTATTTTCAGGGAAACAGGGTAGAAGCTAGACTGTAAGGCCCCACTAGGCCTTACATGAGTGTAGTCACGGAGCCGATGGAGAAGCTAGAAGCTGGGTCACCTGACTGCAGAGGGAGTCCCCAAACTTATAGCCTAGCCCCACACATAGCTATGACAGCCAAATCTTGGGCACTCCCATTCCCACTCGCAATTGGCTCCTGGCCAGGGCTCATTTGTGACTGGAACTGGCCTATAACTGGTCATTCCCCATGGGAGAGACGCTCTCTCTGTTCTGTTCCTGCTCTGTGCTTGCTTATTGCACCCTGAAATGCTGTCCTGGAGACAAAGGACTGCCTTGTGAGCTGTAGCACATGGTGTGCAAAGATGGGATTCCTCTTCAAAATCCCTTGGTGTCTAATTGGACTGTATGACTTGGACTCTCTTGGACTGATGGGAGGAGTGGGGAATCAAACCCGGTTCTCCCAGATTAGAGTCCGCGCAGTTAACCACTACGCCAGACTGGCTCTCCGATTGAGGAGAGCAAGTGACTCTGCATTGCCAAGCTCTTCCCGGTCCCTCTTATTTGCTTCGGTTCCTCAGGTTCTGGCCCTGGAAACTCCGAGTCCCTGGGCCGGTCAGAGGGGGGTGTCACGACATCCCCTCTCTCTTTATTTTATAAACATCTGGCCTGATGACGAGTCCTGGGGAGCTCGAACGCTCGTGCACCGCTCTGTGTCACCGGGCTGGTCCTAATGAGAGGCATATCGCGGATCGTGTTCTTTGGAAAACCGAGCCAGCCGCAGGTAGAGTCCAGATTCGGGCTCTGGAGACAAAAGAGAGCCGGAGAGCTGCTAAGCAGCTAATTACAGGCTCTGCAGGAACATGTTTTCTCTTGCTAAGCA